TACCCACAGAGCTGCAGAGAGCCTTCCTCTTCCTAAACAAGCAAAAATCTCAATCTCCCTTCAAAGGAAGCCAGTTCCAGCTGCAGCAGCCGCTTACTTCACATTTCCCAGGGTCCCAAAGCCTCCATCCCAAGAGGAGGGGGTGCAACATGCCCCCCACTGTTTAATTCCCTCAGTGCTGCTTGGAGCCAATTACCAGCTCTAATTATGGTCCTTCTGCTCCAACCTTGGAGCACGGGCTTCCCAACCCCTGGCATCCCTCTCCAGCATCTGTGCGCTGCCGGCATCTCCTCCCCCTCCGCGATCCACTTTATCACAAGGACTATTTTTAGCATGACGTACAAAGCCATTCCCATCACCGTTCCATGTCATTCACCTCTTCAGCTCCTCTCTCTCTATCTGGTTGTTGGTTTTTTTTTTATCTTCTGAGCACTCCAGGAAATGAAGGCAAGGCTGGGAAGATCCCCCGTGGGAATGCTGCGTGCGTGTGTGGCCGTGTGTGTGTTTCAGCTGGCGTGTGCCTTTGCTCCAGGCTTGCTCTCCACCACCGGCACGAAGCAGCACATGGTCTCCCCATGTGCCTGTTTACATGCTCTGTATGTCTGTCCGGGTGGATTTGTGTCACTGCTCGGTGCAGACACTGCCATGGGAGCCCCCCCTTCATCCCAACCACCTCTTCTTCCTCACCCCCCACAGCATCCCTTCTCCCGGCAGGATAGGCAACCACTCAGCTCTCTGCTGTGACTTTCTTCCCCTCCTCTTCTGCTAAAGCACTCACGGCACCCCCAAACACCCCATCCCTCAGGACAGGGGCTGTATGTCCCGTATGACAGGACCATTCCCACCCCAAACCCATATCCCTCAGGATGTATGTCCTGTATGATAGGACCATTCCCACCCCAAACCTCCCAAAACCCAGCAATGATGAGTCTGGGCAGCCCCATGCTCACTGACACGACGATGAGACCATAGGATTCGAAGGGAATTGGGGGGGACATCGCAACAGCGTCCCCACTCCTGGCTTCCCTTCCCAGGAGCCACTCGGGGGCTCCCAGGGGATGCTCTGCCAGGGCAGGCAGAGGGTGAGGAGGTGTGTGCACTGAGATTTTTTTCATCCTTTGATGATGACAACAGATTTTGGGAACTTGGTTCTATAGGAGATGGAAGGCTTTCCCTGGGAACAGCCTCCCTAGGTCAGGAAAAGGCAGCTTTGGTTTCATTTCCATACCAAGCTTCCTGCTGCGCTGCTGTCCATCTTCCTCAGCCATGGCAAAGTCCAGCTTTATGGAACTCTGTTCAAGTAACATGCCAGGAATTCATTTTATTTTGTATTTTACAAGACCCTTATCCTAAACTTTCTTTATTCCCCCTGTCAGTGACATGGTAGCACTTTGATACCAGTAAGAGATCTCCTAGAAGGGATCCCATAGCCCTCTGAAAGGATGCTTTGCTCAAGACCCTGAACTCTTGGGAGCTGGTGGTCCATAACAGCACTGGAACCATCTGGATAGATGTCACCCTGCCTAATCCCTGTGCCCAGAGCAGTGAGGGGCACAGCAGGGTATCCCTGTCCCCATCCCATTGGAGCACCCCATTAGCAGGCAGGAAGAGAGTAGGTGACTCTGCCCCTGCACCCAGGGTCAGGGCTGAGCGCAGTGGTCCCTGTGGTGGCAGTGCCCATCCCCATCACCAGAAGTGACAATCAGCTGCCGAGCACCGGCGTGACTTCCCCTGGCAGCAGGCTGCCTGCTTTCTTTGGAAATGCCTTCTCCTTTCCTCCCCGTTACAGCTCCAGCACACACACACGTAGCTTTCCAGGATTCCTTCACCTGCTCAGGGTCTTCAAAGGTTTAAACCTTTATGTTTTCCTGGATTTTAGGCTGACAAGGATCAGATAGGCCTCTTGATGGCCGTATTGCCATGGCACTGCAGCTCAAGGTCACCAAGCCTTCCACTCCTCTCTACAATCCGTGGGATCACTCCAGGACCCAGCCACTCCAGGGCCATTCAGGGATCTCTGGAGCATCATATAAAACCCTAGTTGTGGTAACTGTGCCTTTGGAGCCAGTTATGTGGAAAGAAGAGCTGGAATGATCCCTCTCACCATGGCAGAGGGAACTGCTTGCATCCAATTTAAATCAGGTGTCAACGCTGAGAGAGGATCCTCTTAACTTCCGCCGGCTTGTCTGAGGCTGCGATGGGGGGATGTCTCATCTCCCTCCCGTCTAATCCATGGAGATGTGTGATATAGCATAAGCTAATATAATAGGTCATGCAAGGATTTACATCTCATTACGACAGGTTAGAGTCCTGTGAGGATGGATGACTCATCCTTACTTGAATATATTTCAGGGATAAGGAACAGTTCAGCTGCCCAAGGAAAAGCAAATGGGGAAATCAACTACCTTGAAGCATCATTTACCAGCTCATTGCACCCTCTGATTGTCCCCTCATGTCTACCTCCAGGTGGGACACTGGCCTCTCAGAGAAAAGGCAAAGGAATGGGAGAGATGCAAAACCTTGTTGGAGGTCCTTTCCTTTGCCTTTTGCTCCACCCCTAAAAATCCTGGGCTGCAAGAGGCTGCAAAACTCAACCCCGTGGTCCCCCTCCGTGGGGTACATCCATCTCCTGGTGAGTGAGCATCCCGAGGGACCAGACCCAAAGCACTGCCAGGAACGGCGTGCTCGTTTTCACCTACTTGTCTTGGCCAAGCATTTCTGCTCATCAGGAGCTGTTTGCTCTTAGTTCCTCAGACAGGGATGCTCCGTGGGAGCTGACCCATCTAACCCAGCTGGAAAAAATCGGTCCTGACTTCCAGTCTCTTATTGTTAATGGATGCTGAGAGAGAAATCTGGAGTGAGCAAAGCTCCCAGGACCAGCCACATCCGAAGTCTGCTCTGCACCCATCCAAGGCTCAGACCTGCCCAGCACTCAAGGACACAAGCAGGGATGCTTTTCCTTCTCCCTGTCCCTCTTTTCACCCAGACTGACAGCTGGAACATGACCATGCTGTTGGCAATGGGACATTGGCTCCCAGCCTATTTTTAAGCAGGCTGTGGCAGTTCGTTGTGGGTTAAAATTCATTTTCCGTGGGTTTTCCATGGGAAAATGCTCAGGGGGAGCTGCAGATTGGTGTGAAAAGTCATCACTTCAAACAGCTGGGAGGACTCCTGAGCTGCCAGCTGGGGGTGAGCAGCAGCCACAGGGTCACCTGCGTGGTGGGGGATGCTGTGGGTGACACTGGAGTTGTGCCAAATGGCACCTTGGAGGGATCTACCCCATCCCAGTGGCAATTTGCACATTTGGATGAACTCAAGGGAACTGCTGGCATCATTCAAGGGTCTCTGCTCTGCCAGGAGAGCCTTTGCCAGGACAAAAGGTCCCCTTTTGTCACCTCTGAAAGAGTGTTCCTATCCTTCACAGCAGCAGTCACTGCCGAACTGCTGACCAGATTCTCATCCAAGGAAAATACATTATTTTTTAATCTATTTTCTTCTTAAGATATAGTTTTCCCTTGGACAGGGGGGAATGGGAGGATATGGGCCGATTCCCTCTCCCTCTGTCACTTTGTTCTATCACTTCACAGCTGTTCCATCGTTTTAATCTGCAGAGATTGTCTTTAGATTTCAGAAATGAAATTATTTCCTGCAAGCTGGGATTGGGGTTTGGATCCACGCTCATTTTTCATGAACAGAGAAGAAAAAAGGGAGAAATGTCTGTTAAAGCCAGGCTGGCCATCTGGAAAGGGAAATGTTGCTGCTGCCATTAATTGCTCACTCCCCAAGGTCTGGAATACGCCTGAAGTCAAAGGGAAGAGCAGGAGTGAGAGTGGGGATGGAGAGACCAAGGGAATGATGCAACAAAATCAATGCCTGCTCCATCCTCCTGATTTAGGTGATCGATGAACTCGTGGGTGTCTGGGTTGTGGGAACTGAGAGCAGCTTTAATACTAATTAATATTATAAAATCATGGAATCATAGAATCACAGAATGGTTTAGGTCAGAAGAGACCTTAAAACTGATCTTATTCCAATCCACTGCCACGGGCAGGGACACCTTCCACTAGACCAAGCCCTGTCCAGCCTGGACTTGAACACTTTCAGAGATGGGAATACTTCCATGGATATCACTAATGGGAAAAAGGGGAGGGAGCATTCCGAGCCAGCCCTTAGATAGACGAGCAAGCTGTCGTGGCTGGTGCACGGCACATATAGCTTGTACTGAGTGTCAAGCCCGGCTTTTCCTCCGGCCAGACCGAAGGATGGGGAACAGAGCGAGAAAAAGGCGCTTGGGCGGGTTTGCATCTCTGTGGGGTGAAGCAGCCGGGAATCACGGAGCGGAGGGTGTCCCGGGGGCTCCCCGCCCCCACCGTGGCTGCATCCACCCCGGTGCCCCTGGGGGGGGGCTCTGGGGGCTCCTTCTTCCCTCGGGAGTGGCGGGACTGTCGGTGCCCCCGGCGTGGGTCGGGACGGCGGCAGCTCCGCCCGGCGGAGGGCGGCGGGGCCGGGCGGGAGGCGGTGCCGCCGCCGCCGTGCGGGGACACACACACCGGAGCTGTGCGAGCCCCGGTGCTGCAGCGCCCGCCGCTCCGCTCCGCTCCCAGCCGGGACTGGCTCCGCCATGGGCGACGGGGCGGCGCGGCCCCGCTGAGCCCCGGACACCCCGGCATCCCGGCAACTCCAGCACCCCGCACTCCGGTATCCCGGGAACTCGGTACTCCGGCAGCCCGACAACTCCCCTCCGCTGACCCCGGCATCCCCGGAGCTCGGGACTCCGCTGCCCAGGGAACTCACATCCACAGCATCCCAGCTCTCTGGAAACTCCGGTCCGCTGACCCCAGGTCCTCCATCACTCGACATTCCAGCATCCCGGGAACTCGGTACTCCACCGCCCCGGGAACTCCACTGCGCTGACCCCGGCTCCCCGGGAATTCGGTACTCCGTCATCCCGGGAACTCATCTGCGCTGACCCCTGCTCCTCCATAACCCCGTGCCCCAGCTCCCTGGGAACTCAGGTCCACTGTCCCCGGGTCCTCCACCCTCCAGTACCCTGGCAACCCGGGAATTTAGTACTCTGCCACCCCGGGAACTCGGCTCTGCTGATCCCGGCTCACGGGGAACTCAGCACTCCATCATCCCGGGAATTCATCTCCGCTGACCCCATCTCTTTGAAAACCCCGTACCACAGCTCCATGGGAACTCAGCTCTGCTGACCCCGGCTCCTCCATAACCCAGTACCCCAGCTTCCTGGGGATTCATCTCCACTGATCCCAGCTCCTCCATAACCCGGTAGCCCAGCTCCCCGGGCACTCAGTGCTCAGCTCCCCTGGAACTCATCTCTGCTGACCCCAGCTCCTCCATAACCGGATACACCGGCTCCCCAGGAGCTCCCATCCACAGCACTCCGGCTTCCCAATAGCTCCCTACTCCCGGCACCCCAGCACCGACCATACCTTGGCTCCCTGGTGCTCCAGCTCCCTCTTAGCCCCGTTCCTCGGGCTCCCATAACTGCATCCCCATCTTCCCTACTCCTTGTGCCCCGGAGCCCCCAGCTAACCCCGGTTGTCCCAGCTCCACAGCTGCTGTGCCCAACGGCTCCCCGGCCCCCGGGCTCCCGGGCCCCCTGGAACCGAGGCCATGGCGTTCATGGTGAAGAGCATGGTGGGGGGGCAGCTGAAGAACCTGACGGGAGGCCTTGGCGGCGAGGAGAAGAGTGAGGGCGAGAAGTCTCCGGCAGAGGCACAGGGCATGACCCGCGAGGAGTATGAGGAATATCAACGGCAGCTGGTGGAGGAGAAGTGAGTGTGACTGGCACAGGGATGGGCTGGACCCTCAGGGTCCCTGAAGGAAGGGGATGCTCCTGCTGCAGTCCCCTATCCCATATATGGGAGCTGGGGAGAGCCAGTACCGGGGACAGCAGGACCGTGAGGGAGTTTAATGAGCCCCCTAATCCCTTAATCCGCTTCCTTGCCCGGGAGATGGGATTGTTTTCTCCTTTCAGGCTGTGCTGGGGGGAGGAAATTGTGGGGACTTTTCAGAGACAATGGGAGATGCTGAGGTTGGGGGGATGTGCAAACCCAAGGATGGGGGGCACAGGCTGTTGGTAACAGCCCTGTGTGGTTCGCAGGATGGAGAGAGATGCCCAGTTTGCCCAGCGCAAGGCGGAGAGAGCCACGGTCAGGTCCCACTTCCGAGACAAGTACAGGCTCCCCAAGGTATGGCTGTGCTGGAAACGGGGCGGGGAGGAGAGGAGAGGGCGCATGGGGAGTCAAAGCCCAAATGCAAACATCCTTCTCCCCATATTTTGGCCCCTTTCCATCATCTCTGAACACCACAGACCACCAGACCCTGACTTGATCCCCCTCTGCCCCACTTTTGTTCCCTAAATCCAGTTGGACGAGGGAAAGCCACCTTCACCCCAGACTCCCTGGAGCTGGGAGCAGAGCCAGGATTACACTTTCCTGGCTGGATTAGCCAGCTTCTCTCCCCAGATTATTTGGCAAATGTCTCCCACCTAGACTCCAGTTTTGGAATTTCTGCCTAATGAACAATTCACTAAAAACAACTTAATCAAGGGAAAATTCAACCATTCTTAGAATTACTACAAGCTCTTCTCCCTCCAAATCCACCCTTTATTCAGAAAGAGTCTCTCAGCAGTGAATACTCCAAATTGGAGCTGGGCTAATATTAGTTCCGAAGGGCCAGCTAAGCCAAGTGAGATTGTTCTGATTGTTTGGTGTTGTTCAGCCATCCTGGATTCACACCCTCCTGCTTCCCATCCCCTTTTATCACCAGGAAATAAACAGCCAGAGAATTTCTTTTTCCTCCTACCGAAAGCCAGAAAAGGCAGAGGAAGAAAAGATGGAGATTTTTTTTATTCTCCAGGGAAAATAGGGATTTGTTTGGAGCTGGCCCCACAATCCTTTCTCTGTTTTCTCGTGCTTGAAATGTCCCTTCTCATCTTTTGACAAGTTTCTTCTGCTTATTCCTGATCCCGCTTGGCAGCTGGGCTGCCTCATCCAGAGTCTCCCCATGGCTCTCGGCGCAGAGCTCATCCCGGTCGCCGGTGGGAGCAGTTGTTAGGCATACGTGTAGCTTAATTAGGTGCCTAAACCCCCCACAGTGCATGCTGAAAACCAGTTTATACTGGTGCTGTGCATGGGTTTTCATCTCAGCTCTTGCTGTGAGCGCCCAGGCTCAGCTCAGCCATGTCCCCTCTGGATCAGCATCCCAGACTCAGCCCCAGGGACCTGCCCACACGGACCTTAAAATAGGAAGACAGCCCAAAGCCCCTGCTGTGACATGCCCCCTTCCCACTGTGACGTCCCCCCTCCTGACTCTCTCCCGGCCCGTTCCAGAACGAAACGGATGACAACCAGATCCAGCTGGTAGGAGGTGACGTGGAGCTGCCCAAAGAGCTGGCCAAGATGATCGAGCAGGACAACGAGGAGGAGGAAGAGAAGAACTCGGTTATCGGTCAGCTCAGCAACATCCAGAACCTGGACCTTGATTCCTTGAAGGACAAAGCTTCGGCCACGCTAGAGGACCTGAAGCAATCGGCGGAAAAATGCGCCGTGATGTAATGGGGCCGGTGCGACAGTGGGGGAGCAGGGAGGGGGTGCAGCGAAGGGTCTGACGGGGGCTGCTGCCAGCGGCAGGGACCCCACCAGTGTTGTCACCCTTGCCGTGTGTCACTCGGGTCCTCCTGAACCGTGTGACCCCTTGAGTCCCCGACCCAGGTGTTCCTGCTGTGTGGTGTTTGTTTTGTTCTCTGGTCTGAGGTTAGAGCAAAGAGCCAGCATGTCCCCCCCATATCCCAATGCCTCCTCCTGTGCCCATGGCAGCGGATGTCCGCAGCCAGAGCCGGGGCAGTAGCAAGGAAGGAAAATGACCTTGGAGTGTTATTGGCCCATGTCAGTGTGGGAAGGACCGTGTGTGGTGGCCATATGCCGTGTCTCTGCCTCCACATTTCCACCCAACCTCCTAGAAATGACTGGGAGGCTCCAATTTGCTTCGCAAGGACGAGGCATGGTGCAGAACACCCTCCTTCCCTGCATCCCGTACCCATCACATGAGAAATAACATCCCGTCCGTGCAAGGAACACCAACCCCCCTCTGCCCTTGAGGGCTCCTCTAAAGGAGCCAGCCAGGAAGGACCTGCTATATAACCTGCTATATGATCCCATTTATCCCTGTGGGAAGGGGGGTGTTGAGGACCAGAAGGCTGAAGCCTGAATTAACACCAGAGAGGAATAAAACTCTCCCTGGTGCTCAGCTGAGCCCACACCAGCCCTTCCCTGGAGCAGTGGTGTACACCATCCCTCTCCTGGGGTGGGATCCACTTCTGTCCTTGTTCCTTCCAGGAGAAGAACAAAGTGATAAGGGAAGATCTCCTTCTCCTCCCCCTCCATCGTGCTGTAGCTGTGCGCTGTGCTCGGTTGAGTGTCCCTCCACCTCCTGTGCTATCCCCATGCCATGGTACTGTTATAACCGGTGGAATAAATACCAGGAGATGTCTATGCATTTATTTTTCTCCTCAAGCTCTATTCTCCTGATCAAGGTTTTGGGGTGCCCCTTTACAGAGCAAGGACGGGAGCTCAAGGGAGAAGCATCCCAAAGAAGGCATCGCTTCTGGTTGTGGTCACATTCGGGACCAAAGGGATGCTACAAGTGGCTTGTTGTTGGCAGTTGGGTTTAAAAGCAAAGAAAATTCCCATTTTTTCACAGGTTTTTTGGCTATTTTAATATGAAACCTTCAGAACACTCAGTCTCGGACACTGTGGGATGTCTGCAGTGCTGCTCTGAGCAAGGACACATCTCTGCAGGGATGAGCCCGTGATAAGTATAGGTGTGACTCCCAGGCGAAACAGCTCCAGCCAGATGGCATCCTGGCAGGCAGTGGGCTCCTGCGGCGAGGCTTCCTAGAAAAACCTGGCATGAGCTAGGAATTTATCACTCCAAATCCCGAGGGAGCTGATTAACTGCACTTTGGTTTTGTGGGGGAGGTGGGTCATCCAGGAAAACACAGGAGAGGGTGCTGGGAAGCTGATATTGTTGTCATTGTCATTAATCATCATCATCATTATTGTTGTTATTATTAATATTATTAAGGATGCTGGATCAGGCCATGGCTGGGGCTGCTGGGCCAAGAGATTCCTTTCTGCCCCCAGCTCCCTTTTAAGACTGTGCCAGGGCCAGGTAATTCTGGGAAACTCCTGATCTCCACCCCTGAGAGGACAGACAGACAAAGGCAGCTCAGGTGCGATGCTCTGGCTGTGAGGACATACATCCTCATGACCCTCCAGCCCCAAGGACCAGGAGACCTGCCAGCAGTTCTGGGGACATCTGCCCCCAGGGATCCCAAATCCAGCCCCACACAGCACTGGGAGCTGGGGAAAAATGAGAGGGAAGATTGGCAGGAGCAGCTTTAGCTCTGAAAGGAGATCATACCTGATGAGGATCAGCCCAAGCTGATCTAATCCCCCATCAGGAAAGGGATAGCAGAAAGCAGGCACGGACTGAGCTGAGCCCTTGGCATTTAAATCCCAGGCTGATGGTGAGGCATGATCAATAAACATCACAGAGGAGAGTGGGATCCCGACCAGAGCAGGGAGTGTTGGGGCTGGGGGATGCAGTCTTTCCGTTCATCCCACTCAAAACCAGCCAGGATTCTCTCCTCCACCTTTTCCTCTGCCCCCCTTCCCCTCTCCTCCCTTCCCGACCCTTCAGCCTTGCTCCGTGCTCTCCCCCGGCCCACGTGCCACCCCGCAAAGGCCGCGTGAAGCTCAGTGGGTTTATTTTAGGAGGCACCATGACCCCCAGGCATGTGAAAAGCAAAGCAGCACACGCTCCCCCCCGCCTGGCTCTGCGAGACGTGTTAGGCTTCAGCAAAGCGTTCCCAGCAAAGCGTTCAAAGCACTGGGAGCTCCGAGGATGCTCCGATCTCGCATCCCTGCTCCCATGGCTGGATCGCTGCCTCTGCCGGGGCGGAGAGGTTGAGATGGACGGAGAAGAGTTTGGGATGGCGGGAGCAGGGGCAGGCCTTTTCCTTGCCCATCAAGAGATCCATCCCAGCTTCCAGTGTTCCCTGCTGCCGGATCCCTGAGCATCCCTGCAGCCGAATATCCTGGCTGCCTCCATGCCATACAACTGCTCCAGGCATCAACACACAGACTAAAAAACTTAAAGCAAAGAATTAGCATGGATTAAAGCACAAAATGTGATTTTTCTCTTCTACACTCCCTGTATAATTCCCTCACCTATGGGGCCAGGATTGGGATGGATTTGTCCAAGTGAGCCCTTGCTGGCTGCTGAAGGATGCCGGCAGCAGGGAATTCTGTTGATAAAATAAAATAAATTTTACTGATCAAATAACATAAATTTTACTGACAGAACTCCTGCCCTCCTGCACCAGCCCCTTCCTTACCTGGCCACAGGATATTCCTCCTTCCTGCTGTGGAGCCTGGGATGAATAAGTGGCTTCCCCAATAGATTAAGCATTAAATGAGCATTGTTAAAGTGCGGAAAAAATTGAGCCACCATGGAAGGCTGGGGGAATGTTCCTTCTTTTTGCAGGCAATTAAACTTCCCTGTGAGCTGCTGCGGGAAGGGATGGCCCCATCCATCCAACTGCTGCTGGTCCAGCTACCGGGATTAATCCAGATTAAAGAGCCCTGGGAAACCCCAGGGTTGGTTCCACACACTGACCCAGCTCACTCCAACCCGCTGAGTATCTGAACTCACATCAACCCACGGGCTGGCACCGTGAGTGTGACAACCCATCTGCCACCCTCGTGTGTCTCTTTGGGTGACAATCTGGCCCCAAGAGCTACCCCATGAGGGTTGGAAGAGCCCTTTTGGAGAGCTGGGTGATGGCATGGATGGGACCAGAGCACGGCAGCGCTTGCTCCTCCCTGTGAAGCTGAAGCCACGCTGAGTGACAGAGGCCACACTGCCAGGCTGGGACTGCTCCCTTCCTGCCACTTCCCCTCCGGTCCAGGCGGTGACATTTGGGCAGCGCTCGGCCGAAAAGCCCTGATGCAGAAGAGACTCACATCCACCCCGACACAAAGCCAGGGCACCCCAAGCTCCATGACCCCGGGGGGAGCATCCGGAGCCTCGTCCTGCTTCCAAAGGCTCCGGAATCAGCCGCGCATAAAGGCAGATGCGATTATCCGCGCCGGCTGCTGCAGCCAGCCGGTGCAGCCATCCCCAGTGGCTCCGTGCTAGCCCCAGGCCTGGGGGAGGACACGGGGTTGGAAAGCTCTTTAAAGCCTTGGGATATAATCTCTGCTCGGAATAATAAAAACATATAAAAATGCCTTGTCGCATCTGCCCAGGAAGCTCTTCACCGGCTTGGGCACGGAGCAGCCAGCACAGGGGCAGGATCTGGGGAGAAGGCTGTCTGAGGAAGAGCTTGGCTGGGGTCATGGCTCAGAATATCCTTAGAACCCCCCAAAAAAAATCCCCCCCATCACTTGCTCCAGCCCCTCTGCCTTCCCTCCCAGCCCAGCCCAGTCCTTCTTCACCCGCCACAAAAATCGATTGGAGAAAACAAGATTTTACGTAACAGCTCGTGTCGTTCTGCTCTGTGTTTTCCATGCACACAAAAAATAAAAAGATGGGAAGTGAAAACAAGGTCAAACCTTGCTTTGGCTGCCTCATGTCCCCAGGGAGCACGGGGAAGGAGAGCACCGCTGGAGCAAAGGAGAGCACACCCTGGCTCTGCTCCTGGGGGACAGGGATGAGGGTCCCCAGCCCTCCTCGATGGCTCCAGGATCCCATGCTGGCTCTGGGTCCTGGGCTTGGCTGGAGACCCTCTTAGGGCTCAAATCACAAACCTGAGAGCAGAGGAGGTGGAGAAACCAAAATTAGCATTTATTAAAGACAATAAATTACATTCCCTTGAGATACAGAAGATTTTGAGATGAGTCCCTCGTTTTGCAGGACAGGCGGACCTCAGCACCCCTGACAAGTGATTGCCGGAAATATGGTTTGGATCTTGGGGTTGTCAGAGCCCTGAGGAGTGGAGCAGAGCATGCAGGATGCCGAGGATGTCTGCCCCTGAAGGTGGCTGATTCCTGCTCATGTCAGACTCAGTCGGTCCCTGCTGAACACTGCTCACACCCATGACAATGATGATGCAGTCAGTACCTGCCAGACTCCAGGTCTGGAAACAAAAAGCCTCATTCCCAATGCTCCAGCAGTGAGAGGGAGGTATGGCTGGGCTGGGACAGTGCAAGGGGGTGCTGGAGGCTGGATGAGCCGTGGTGGGTACGGAGGTAGAATGCTGGGTGAGGAAGGCACAGCAGAGCACCCCTGACCACCCTGGGCTCCCGGCTGGGATCCGTGGACCTGGGCTGTGCAGACGCTCCCCCAGAATTTGGGAGGTGGAAGAAACACCCAGCCAAAAAATCAGGGTGGATATTCTGCTGGAGCCCGGTGCCAGGATAAAAATACCCATCCTGTGGCAGCCAGCGGAGGGAATTAGAGTGGAATAACCCGCCCGCCGTGGAAGGGGAGGCTGCAGCAGCAGACGGTCGAGGCAGGGCTAGGAGGGAAACGAGCCCAGTGCCTGGGAGAGGAGGCAGATGGCCCTGTGGACCCCCCGGGGATGGGAGCCCGAGGGTGACTTCTGAGGCGTTACCCTGATGCGGTGGGGACGGAAGCCTCGTCTTTCCGATGGCATCTCTGCACAGGGCAGTGAGCAGCATCCACTGGCCGGCTCCTGGGAATCACTGCAAGGTACAGGCTGTGCCGGGGGACAGAGGGGACTCACCTGGCTGCACATGCCACTGTCACCCTGTCCAGGTGGGCTCCCAGACTTGGATGACCCCATGCTGGGAGGAGACGATGGTGTACGGGGTCGGGATCACCCATGGGCAGGGATATCCCCATGGCTGTGGCAGCTGGAGGGATATTCCCCGCCAATCCCCTCTGAAAAGGGGGACTCACCACTCCGGATGGGCTCTGCCAGCGCCTCCTTGCCCACGGACTGTGCCTGCCGCATCTGCCAAGGGAGAGGAGAGTTTCCTAGCCTGTATCCTCGCTCAGCTCCAGACCCACACCAATCAACCGTACCTTGATCTGATCCTTCAGGTACTCAGCTCGGGCCATCAGCATCTGGATCTGGCAGAGACAAAGAGATGACACAGTCTCTTTGGAGCCAGGTCAAGGGGGACAGGTGGGTGTCCCATGGCTGGCACTCACCTCCGCATGGAGCAGCTCCCGTCGCCGCCCTGCTGGCTCCGCTGCAGAGGAAAGAGGGATGTGCCATTGGACGAGGCATGAGAGCAGGATCCGCCCCTGCCCTCCAGCTCCCACCACAGCCCCAACTCACCAGCCAGGAGGAGCAGCAGCTCCCCCAGACTCTGCTGGTACAGCTCCAGGGCATCACCATCATCCCCGCCTTCGTCCTCCTGCAAGAGATCCCAGGAGCTGGCTGCAGCTGGGGGGGATCCATCAGCTCCCTCCCCACCAGGTTTGCTCCTTCCCCTTCCACTTGAGGGAAGAGGGGGCCCCCAAACCCACCCCTCACCTTGGCCATGGCAGCTGAAGCCACTTCCAGCGCTGCACAGAGCCGAGGCTTGTCCTTGGCCATCTCTGCAAGGAGACATGGCAATGGGGATTGCCCAAAACATTCACCCTTCAGCCCAAAACCCCACCAGTGCCCTCTGACCGCTCCAACACTGGGGGTCCCCAAAAATCCACCACCTTTAAGGAGCTCTCTAGCTGGATTTCCTTTCTCCAGTAGGTTCTTGTTGCTGGAGTTGACCAAAGCCTTCAGCTCCTCTGCTCGGGAGATGTACTGCCCCATCTGTGCACATTTGGGGGGTGAGGGGATGTTACAGGGGACAGAGGATGGAGGTGCAGCCCCCCACCTTCCCGGGGGTTTTTGGCTCACCTTGGCCCGGATGGCTTCTCTCCGCCGTGCATCGCTTTCATCTGCGGGGGAAGGCGACCAAACGCTGGGGTGGGTGGGCTGAAAACTGACCTCACCCGGGGTGCTGCCCTCCAAAACACACCCAGGGAACACACAGCCCCCAAGGGGGACTCACAGTGCAGTGCTGGCACGAAATACTCCAGGGCTTTGCAGTAGAGGGAGAGGGCAGCGTTGGCATCCCCCTCTTGATCCTTCCTCACTGCCTCCACCACCAGGTCAGTCTGGGGGACACAAGGTGGGGCTCAGGGCTCAGCCTCCCCATATTCCCAGGGTGCAGTCCCCCAGCTCCCTGCTCACCGCCTTGCCCAGGCTCTCAGGGCCTGGGACATGCTCCATGTCCACAAAGGGGTGGGCAAAGAAGCGCTCGAAGGAGATGCGCTTCAGAGGGTCCCTCTCCAAGAGTTGTCCCAAGAGATCCCGGCATTCTGGGGAGAGCTGGGGTCGGCTGGGAAGCTGGGGAGGGAAGGGGCTGAGACCACTGACTGCTGTGGGAACCCATCCCATCCCATCCCATCCCATCCCATTCCCCATTACCTTCACAACCCAGTCACTGCGAATCTTCTCCTCCAGCTCGGCGAAGGAGTGAGAAGCAAAGGGTGGCTCCCCAAAAAGTGCTTCTGCAGGAGGAGAAGGAGAATTGGGGGGAGCTGGAGAGGGAGAAACCTGCCCCGAGTGGACCCCCGAGGAGATAAAAGCCAAAGCCCACCGTAAAGGATGACGCCCACCGACCACAGGTCCGCGCGGGCATCGTACTGCTGGCGACACACCATCTCAGGGGCCATGTAGAGGGGGGAGCCCCGCAGGACACGCTGCTCATCCCATGGCGACATGTACTGCGCAAAGCCAAAATCTGGCAGGGAAAGAGCTCATGGAGGGACAAGGAGAAAGAATTCTCCCTCACCAGCCCCTCCCGGGGAGCTGCTCTGACCTGCCAGCTTCAGCTGGGGGTTCTCCGGCGCGCTCAGGAGGATGTTCTGTGGCTTGAGGTCCAGGTGGGAGATGTTGCGGTCGTGGAGGAACTTCAGGGCGCAGGCTGGGCGGGTGGATGGGCACATGGCAGTGTGGCCCTGCCCCAAAAAACCCCCAGGGAGGGTCCCCAACAGGCAGTGTGTCCTTACCGAGCTGCTGCAGGAAGATGCGTGCCACCTTCTCAGGGAGGATCCTGCGCATCCGGATGAAGCGGGAGAGGTCGCCCCCAGCACAGAACTCCATGATCAGATAGATGTGGTCGCTGTCCCACTGCAAGGCAATAAGACCTCATCGTGCCACACCAGCCAGTTCCACCCACACGGGTTTGCCTGGACCAGTTTGCCCAGTTGCTGCCACCGAGCAACACTGATACACCCCTGGGAAGCCGGGATGGGCCCAAGCCAGAGCAGTTTTGGCTCAGAGTGCCCCCCAGGAAGCCCCCAGCCCACCTGGAAGTCCTTGAGCTCCACGATGTGCGGGTGGCGGATGTTCTTGAGGATCTCGATCTCTGTCAGCAGGTTCTCCACGGACGCCCGGTTCAGACTCCTCCTGCTCACACACTTGATGGCTACCACTTCACGAACGTCCCTCTGCCAAGGACGGGGGTAACCCTGCAGCCCCCCACCCAAACAGCCATCCTGGGGTGCTCCCCCAGTCTGTCAGAGAAGGAGGGGAGGAACCCTTGCGAGGGGGTGGCAGGTCCCAGGCTGGGGGCTGCAGGTCCCAGGCTGGGGCTGTAGGGGTTGTACCCCACGTGGAGGGCTGGAAAAGGGGGGGTCCCACGGGAGTGGCGGAGCAGATTGAGGGGCAGGAGGGGGACCCCCGCGGCGGGCCAGGCCTTACCTTCCTGAAGGCCTTATAGACGGTGGCGTAGGTGCCGGAGCCAAGGCGCTCGGTAAGGATGAACTCGTCCAGGCGCGGCGGGGCCCAGCCGGCCCCGGCCATGGCCCCTCCGGACCCGGCACACGGGGCCGGGACCCGCTTCCGCCTTCCCGGGGCGCCACGGCCTTGGGCACGCCCCGACCACGCCCCGACAGTGTCACCCACCGTCCCCCCCCCCCCCCCCCCCCCCCCCCCCC